TCACTCCATACCCTTCAATGAGTACGAGAGAGTAAGCAGTAATGAATAATTTTGTTTTGTCTTTTTCTTCTCCCTTCCACTCCCATATCAAGCCCCTTCATCCCGTAGACGAGCGAAGCCACTCTCGCAACTTAAATAATGCCTACGAAAATTTTCGTTACTACGTTCGCAAAACTATTGGGTTTGACTATGGAAGAGGGGACTCACCTACGAAATGGAAGGGATAAGAAAAGGAAAGAATCATTTCACTCGCACTCGCAGGATCAATGAAGAGCTACTTGGTTAACCTTGAGGAGCACTCGCGAGTGAAAAGAGCCGAGTTTGCCCGGCTCTGGTATAATCACGTCGAACAATAAGCGGCAGTGATGTACTGGTAAAACGGAACGGTGAATAGTTCGCCTTATCACTTGTTTGATGTTCTGAGAAAGCCTATGTTTTTTTTCTTTTATAAATCCCGTCTCACAATAAGTTATTAATGTTCAGATGCAATATACGCGGCAAGTGCAGAAAATGATAGGGCTTGAATATATGTATAAAATTATACTTAGAAAGATACCGTACCGAATACTGTCTAGAAAACGTATGATGCATAAAAATTGAACGTTGGTCAAGCTTTTCAGCAACACTTACCGGAATCTGTGGCAAGATAACTTAAAGAGTGGCTCGAAGGGGGGTGGCGATGATCGGTGACTGTGAAAGCTGTAAAAATAATGAAAATTGTAGTTACAAAGGTACAGAATACTTGTAGAAAAAATATGCATAAATATTGAACATTAGTCAAGCTTTTCAGCAACACGTACCGGCAAGAAGAATGAGAACCTCGTAGGGGGATAGTGATCATCGGTTACTGTGAATGCTGTGAAAATAATTAAAATTATCTTGTTGTGTTCATAATTATTANTTAAAGGGATGCTAGTAGAGTGGCGAAAATTATCTCTGACTGTGAAATCTGTAAAAAAAATGAAAATTATAGGTATAGAGGTACCGCACCGAATACGGTCGACAAGTAAGTATGAATGAAAATTGAAGTGTAGTCAACCTTTTTTGGAAAACTTACCAAAAACTGTGACAGGACAAGTTAAAGGGATGCTCGTAGAGTGGCGAAAATTATCGGTGACGGTTAAATCTGTAAAAATAATTAAAATTATACGTATAAAGGTACCGCACGGAATACGTTCAAGAAAAGGTATGCATAAAAATGGAACGTTGGTCAAACTTTTTGGAAACACTTACCCGAAATTGTGGCAAGACAACTAAAAGAGAGGGTCGTAGGGGAGCGGCGATGATAGGTGACTGTGAAATCTGTAAAAATAATGAAAATTGTAGTTATAAAGGTACAGAATAGTTGTAGAAAAAATATGCATAAATATTGGACATTAGTGAAGCTTTCTACCAAGACAACTGAAGGAGGGGCTCGTAATAGGGGGATAGTGATCATCGGTTACTGTGAATGCTGTGAAAATAATTAAAATTATCTTGTTGTGTTCATAATTATTACTACTGCAGAGGTAATCATAAGTAAACTATCAAGCGAAGGGAATGCAATTTTCTTAATTCAGTATAAATGACTTAATAGTACATTATTATACACTGCAATGATACAGTATGTTGTGAGTATTTTGGGGATACGAATAAATTGTTTCTCTACAAAACTAAACATATAATTAAATGTAGAAAACAATTACACCCTCCGGGTCAACAAGTTTATTCCTAATGATACGATTTTCACTCTACTAAATACAATGTCATTTATTCAATATCACTATGATGGTATGACACCATTTGAAACATTAGTATTTTTCAAAGAGAGGACGAAATGTTTGTATATTACAAGAAATACAGTAATCCTGAGTAAAGACCAAAGGAAAAATCGTTGTTATTACGTTGATAAACGAAACAGTTCCAAATGTCCGAAACATGTATTTGTATATCAAATCTTTCGTTCTATTAAGTATTAACACGTTTGTAACGTTTTAAAATTGTTTTAAATCATTTATTTGTATGATGGCGTGCATACATACAATTCTTCAGTAAACGCACTTAATCAAAGTTACGGAAATAATCTGTTCTGTAACTTGTAACTTTTCAAAAATCGCCACATGATGTGTGATATGAATATGTAAACAATGACGCAGCTATTAATTAAGACATCTAAACTGAACAACATGAAATATATTTAGTTATTTAAACCAGTAAAAACAATTTACATAGATGCAAATCCCACAGAGGTAATTGCAGTTACTTGATTTGAAATTGTTTTTTAATTGATTCAACTTCAACATCCATATAGCAATGAAATTCAATATACATAAAGCAATCGTCCGCGATGTTTCGCAAAAAGGTCATGTAAGGTGTGTTTGTAAGTTATATGGAAATCTTTACATACGTATAACACACACACACTTTCATCCAATTAAAAAACGAAGATGTGAGATAAGTGTAATCATAAATAATTATAAGAGAACACATTCGGAAACATTACTTTACTATTTTCTGCGATTACCTGCAAATAATATTAATACTTTGCAGTAGAAATAAAGCACTGAATGTTTTAAAAAAACAAATGCGTAACACAAGCGTGTAAAAAGTAGGTACGTTTTGTAGACTGATGGAGAAACATATACATTAGAGTGATCGGTAAAAATTGCATTTCTTCCGACTGTTAAAAAGCTTCATTTTGATGGAACGCGAAGGAAGAAAAAAATTGCGTTAAAAATAACAAGACAAGTCAAGGAAGACGAAGTTAATTTTTTGTAAAATCATGTTTTTGCGGAAATTTCCCATTAAATATGCAATAGTTATAATTGTTTGCCAATTGGTTTTTATAAACAATAATGTATTATTATTATCCTCATTTTAATCAGTAAACATTAACTACAATAGTTTCCCAACTAAAATCCCTATCCATATGTTAGCGTACATCATTCGGTATATATTACACAAACAATTGTACAGTTACGGAAAGAAAATTATTGAATATTTATATTTATANACTTTAACTAATTTTCCAACTAAAATCCCTATCCCTATGTTAGCGTACTTCATTAGGTGTATATTACACAAACAAGTGTACAATCATGGAAAGAAAATTATTGAATATTTATATTTATAATTTCGTCATTTGCATATTTACGAATGTTGTTTTCTATATTGTAATTATTTCTGCAACAAAATTAGAAATGTAATTCATTTACAGGATGTATGTCAACAGTACACGAAAACTTTCTTTCGGTACGGTGTTATTTGTACTTTGTCAAGTTACCGGATTAGTAGTTTGCATGAGGAACGTTATTCACTCTTTTTTGTCAAGTGAATTTAATAAAACTTAATTTTGCAAGCACATGTCATTTAGTTCCATTGTATAATTGAGTAGGAGAAAAATAAATCACTGTAGAGCAATCAGTTATGTAGGTATGATTTTCTTTCTTTCAAATCCAAGTCCAAATTCGTACTACAACGGAAGCAAGGTCACGCGCAAGCGAAACGAAATATACATGTAGATACTTCATAAATAAATAAACTGCTTCCGATAACGATGTCTATTTTGTAGATTATACTATTAATACCCACCACAGTCAAAGCATTCGTCAGGTTATTAGTCATTGAAATAATTTTCCTTATTCCATTTAGCATTACACATACGACACATATTGTTGTTATAATACACAAACACATCATACGCGAATGTTGGACATCTCATACAAAAAACAAAACTATTCAATTTCTCTTCAATGAACAACGTTTCTGGTAAAAACCTAATACCAACAAATATAGCCTAAGTCTAATCTGCATTTTATACTATTTGAACAAGCAAATTACAATTTTTTCAATTAGCGTTGAACAGTACAATTTATGTACTACTTCTTTTCTTCTCATGTAATTAGATGTTAAAACAGTATTCATTTCTTCCTTTTCATAATATTCGACTATTACGGAAAATATTGAATGCAAGTTTTAGTGGAGTTTCGGTAACTTTCTTTTCGCCAACTATTGTGGTGTACTTATTTAAAAGAAACACGTATATCAATAACAATTGCTATATTGGACCATTTACCTAACAAGTATGAGTCTACTTGCAGCATAAGACGTTAATAATGTTCAATTGTTCAATCAACCTTCCTTCTCACTTTGCCCATTTTATGTTTATTATGCAAAAAATCTATGAGACTACCAACACATCTTTCTGAGTATCGTCTATCGAGTTTTTTTGTTTAATTTTTTTTTTTAGAAATGACAGTAACAGAAGAAATGATACTACCCGCTTATGTAAGAACCTATTTCTGCCTTGGAGTTCCTCTGGCTGTTCGTGACCACGTCATTGTTTATATTCTGCGGGACTACTATTCCTTGCCGGAGAGNTTCATTCCTAATTATGCTAAGATCGCGAAACCCTTGACCGTTTTATTAAAAAAAGATACACAATTTCTTTGGACAGACCAATGTCAAAATTCATTCACAGAACTCAAAACTTATTTGACTCAATCCCCTGTGTTGCAATATCCTCGATTCGAAGAACAGTTTATTTTGACAACAGATGCCTCACAATACGCTATTGGAGCTGTCCTTTCACAAGGCCCTATAGGTAAAGACTTGCCTGTGGCGTATGCCAGTAGAACACTTAATTCGGCAGAAACAAGATATTCTACGATAGAAAGAGAGCTGCTTGCCATCGTATGGGCTACAAAACATTTTCGGCCATATCTGTATGGAACACACTTCAAAATTATAACCGATCACCGTCCACTTACGTGGTTATTTAGTATTAAAGATCCGGGCTCCAGACTAATTAGATGGCGTTTAAAGCTTGAAGAGTACAGTTATGAAGTCATTTATAAGAAAGGAACATTAAATAGAAACGCGGATGCTCTTTCAAGAATCAAAATTGAACCCGAAATTCAAAATTCATTAAAAGTTAATATGTTTGAAAGAAGTGTTGCGGATATACCCGAGGGTATTGATTATGATATATTTCTTATGGACGAAAGATCTTATGACACACCTAAGACCGTGGTAGGAAAATTTAACGATAAAAATCATACTTACGAAATTCTCTTTCCTTCTGATAAAATAAAAAAGGTAAACTTTATTCTTCACGACACAGAAAGTCCCAGTTTCGATGAAAATATAGAACTTAAACAATCGCAATCAAACCCTAACTTAACATATATAGTAAACAATTATCAAAATCCTAGAGAATTATTTGAAAACGTCTTAATTATTTTAACTTTGGCATCTTCTAATGATCTGTTGCGATTTACCGTATCAAAAGAAGAAAACGATACATTAATTAAAGTTATTAACTATCTTAGAAACAAACTAAATTTTCCCGACGATCAGGAAATACAAATTAATAACACCTATAAAAATTCAGGTAACCCGGAAAGTAAACAACATATCATTTCCCTTCATCACGACCCGCCAGCGTACGGACATAAGGGTATAAATGAAACTTTAAATAGAATTCATGAGTACTTCGATTGGTCAGGAATCAAGGACGATGTAACAAATTATATTAACAATTGTGAAACGTGTCAAAGAAATAAAACAGTGAGAAGATCGTACGAAAGTCCAATGACTATAACAGAAACGCCAACATATCCGTTTGAACGCATAGATATGGATACAGCCGAAATTTACTTTTCAAAAAAACAAAAACGAACCGTTTTAGTAATCCAGGATCAATTGTCTAAATTTATTCAATGTTACTTATTGAGTGACAAATCAGCTCAAGAGGTATCAAACCACCTTCTTAAATTCATAGCTACTTTCGGCATTCCAAAAAGGGTTCATTCTGATCAAGGAGGCGAATTCCTTAATAAAATTTTATCAAAATTAGAGAAAGAACTATTTATAGAGCACACGTACACCATTGCATACCACCCTAAAAGCAACGGTGCTGTAGAGAGAGTTATTTGCACCTTAAAAGATACAATTGCCACAATAATTGACACAAATAAACACACTAATAATTATGAAGCATTACTTTCCCACGCTGTGTTATCTTACAACTCTTCAGTAAATAGTAGTATTAAATTGGTACCATATGAAATATTATACGGCATTAAACCGAGAAATGTAAATAATCCCCAAGATTCACACGTGAATGAAAAAACGTCAGCATCCTACCTAGTCGAGAGAAAAGGCATTCTTAGCAGATTGCATGAAATAGCGCACAATAATCAAGCTCAGCAAAAACAAAAAGTTAAAGACTCCCATGATTCGAGAATTAAAAACCCGTTACCTCAGTACAAAATAGGCGATAAAATATTTTTAAGAAATTTCTTAATAAACAGGCAGGGTAATTCGAAATGGTTAGGTCCATTTCAGATAATGGAAATTATTAACGAGAAAAATTTCAAAATTAATAAAAAAACGAAAAACAAAGAATTCACAATAGTTAACATTGAACAGATTAAATTATATAAATCTGTTTCTTTTTCAGATGCGTAGCCGTAGACATAAGTACGGATGAGTTGCCTAATACAGGAATATATTTCCATCCTAAGGGAAATCTCATTGTATCTGACACTTCATATACTATTTTAGTCTACAAAAACATAAATCCATTATTTTCGAATTTGAAAACAATTAAACAATTTTATACCCAGATTCAAAATTTAGAATTTAAATTAAACAAGATACATTTCAAATTCAATCATGTTACCACTTTAGGGGTCACAGTAATGAAATTAGAAAAAGATTTAGAGGAAATAAGATTTTTATTACCTGCAAAGCGAGCCAGAAGAGGTTGGTTTAATATCTTTGGAAAAGGCTTACACACATTATTTGGTACTTTAGATGAAGACGATGCTGATAAATATAATAAACTCATAACAGAACTACAAAATTCAAACAAAAATACATTGAAAATCTTAAAAGAACAAACACATCTATCACAGGTATTGTTATCAAGTTTCAATGAAACATTGATTAAGGTAAATGGCAACGAAAAAACACTTCAGCAAAATTTGTTAGCTATCGATCAGTCATTAAAAAATGATACAAATAGAATTAATGAAAATCATCTAGCACTTCATATGATAAACACAGTGACTGTTCTTCTTGAAATCGCTAATTTAGTCCAAAAGGAAGTTTCTAATATTTTAGAGTCATTATCTTATGCAAGAGCAGGTATGTTACACCCATCAATCCTAAATCATGAACAATTAAAAACTGAATTAAACAAAATTGATGTTACCGAGTCCGTACTGCCATTTCCAGTAGATGATAGTGAAATTTATAAATATTATTTGATAATCAAGCCCAAAATTTATTTACTAAATCAAGGCTTATTGATTAAATTAGAAATTCCTCTTTGTAAATCTTTACAGTTCA